GTAGATAAATCACACTCTAGCACAAAACGAGTAAGCATTCATCTCCTAATCGCACTTAGTCAAGCATTCATGATCTAAAGCAACAATCTTTTCCTCCAAATAACACAAGCGCAATATCAATTTCCTCAAAGAGCAAATAAAGATATACGAAGTAATGGGTTTAAGACTAAATACCCACTCTTACACGCACTTGGAAGAGAAACGAAGTCAAAAGCTCGAAACTTTACTCGAAACAATGTCGCCGGAAAACCTCCCGGAAAATGACATGATTTCCTAGTCTAGAGAGAAAACATAAATATAAGCTAAGTTCCAAAAAAGGAAAAATGAAATAATGAAGGATGGATGCCCAAAATACAAAGCATCAAATGTATTTATACTACTGGGCAAAACACACACTAAAAATGCACATTAAATGATAAAAACTCGCAGGTTAAATGGCGTTCGCGGGATGGAAGACGAGAACTCGCAGCTTAGGCTTGAAACTCGCGGCTTTGATGTGCATTAAAAGGAACTCGCAGGTTTTGAAATGGATTCGCAGGTTCGGGCTTCGGAACTCGCAGGTTATGAAGATGGAATTCGCAGATTTCGTCGTTTTCGCAGGATAGGTGAAAAACTCGCAGCTTTGAAGGCGATTTCGCAGGCTCGAAATTCCGTCTCTGATCTTGCTCTAGCCAAACTCGCGGGTTACAAGCTTTTCGCGGGCGCGAAATCGTTTTCGCGGGTTGGAAATGGTCCCATGACCTCTTAATGCTCGATTTGCTCTAACTTCTCGCACACAACTCCAATTCGCACGAAACTTGGACCCATATTCTCCTAATTAAATTCTCTTCGTTTCGATATGGCTTGGGCGGACTTTTCGGTTGGATGGCTCGTCTCTTCGTTATCGCCAAGTTGGACCTATTCAACGCCAAAACAAAAGAGAAACGCACAAAAATACGGAAACACTATACAATAACAAAAATACACAAAACACGATAAAATGGACCGGTCGACACTAAAACGAGCCTAATAACTATCAAATAAAGCACACAAAACACACAAAAATAACGACAAAAACACAATAAACACCCCCTTGTGTTTAAGTAACCGATGCACGATTCCCCCATTCCATCCAAGTTAACCGCGCGTGTATGACACATTCTCCATATGCGAGATTTGTTCATTTTTTTATTTTCACAATTAGTAATTTACCATTATACCTTCCAAAATTTTATTGCAAAAGCCTTACCATTATACCCTCCAGAATTTTATTGCAAAAGCCAAAATAAATAGAGTGCAGGTGGTGGGACTCGAACCCAAGTTGGAAAGGAAAAACATGCACACGACCACCAGGGCTACAAGAATGTTGTGTAAATTATTGAACACACACATATATATATATATATATATATATAAAATATACGAAAATGAATAAAATGAATAAAATGAATAAAATGAATAAAATGAATAAAATAAAATAAAATAAAAATAAAGTAATAAAATAAATAAAAATCTAATAGGTAATAAAAATATATTAAATAATTATTAATAGTAATAACAACTTGAAATAAATCTTATTAACATAAAAATAATGAAACCGTTAAATTAAAATAAAGTAAGATAAAATTTAATATAGTAGAATGAATTAAAATTAAATAAACTTATAATTTTTAATTACTAAATTTAATTATATAAATTTTCAAATAAAAAATGATAATAAAATTAAATAAAAGTAAATAAAATAAAAATAATAATAGTATAAGATAATAAAGTATAAAAATTGTAAAATATAATAAATAATAAATAAAATAACTTATTATTATATAATAAATTAAAGTAAATAAAAATATTAAATTCATATAAAAAAAATAAAAAAAAAACATAATTTATCAAATACGTGTAATATGATTAACTCTTACATATAATGTCACTGAGAAAAACTGAAATAAATTATAAATTTTTAGTAAATGATTTTAGTTTTTAATAAATAATTTTAATTTATAATTTTATTAGTAAATTTTTTTTTTCATTCTCTTAAAACAAAATAAATAAAGTTTGTTAACTAAGATAATATAAAATGAACAATGCAATGAAATAATATAAATAATAGAATATAAAAATATTCTAAATATAATACAATGAATATAATTATTTAAAATTTAATTTTTAAATTTATTTATAATTTATTTTATTATTTTTAATATAATAAATTATTTTTATATTTTTGTTTCTTATATGTTTATATTTTAATAATTTAATTTAATATTATTTTACATTATCTTTTAAATTAAATTTTATTTAATATAATTTATTTACATTATCTTTTAAATTAAATTTCATTTAATATAATTTATTTACATTATCTTTTAAATTAAATTTCATTTATTCATTTGTAATGTCCAAGTATATTTAACTTTACCACATCTAGCACTAAAGCTTGAGTGGTGTAGTGGTTGGTTGCTTGCCATGCTCTTTAGGAGGTCACAGGTTCGATCCCATGAGACAACATTTTTTTAAATTTACTCGCGATATATTCAATATATCGTGAGAAATTCAATTTATTATAAATATATATATAATATTCGAAGGGTATAACAGGGTTTCTGTAAAAAAATTAACACCGTTAACTGGAGATTGAAAAAAGAGAACGTGTGCATCGGTTACTTAAACACAAGGGGGTATGGTGCAGTTTTTAAAACACGATGGGGAAATGCGCACATTTCGTTAAACACAGAGGAGTCTGGTGCAATTTACCCAAAAAAAAAAAAGGGTCAAATATGACAGAATGGTCCCTCTCATTTAGTGAAATTGTTGAATGGGTCCTTTGAAGTTGATGAAATGGTGAAAATGAGAAGGATTTTGGGTGAGTTTTTATTTGGAGAATTTTGTACAAAGATCCTTAAGCAAAATCCTTCTATGATGCAATATTTAACTTGACTAAATGTTGGACACAAGAAGATTGATGGAAATATTACAAAAAGACCCATAAAAACAAGACTAGTAACTCTTATTTTTTGAATTTGTACCTCGTCGAGCTCTCCATCAAAGACCAAACAATCCTAAAGCATCAGCATATATCATACTAAAGCTTAGCATCTCCGAAAAGTACGAAAGTACACAAAACTACATAAAGTGGTGTCGTGGTGCCTGACATGTTATGAAACTAAAACACAACATTACTGTCCTTGAAGAATATCTAGTCATGTGAACGGTAGTCAAATCAACCTACACAACAAAAACTATTTTCAAAAGGTCACTAATAAACGTTCAGAAATTGCAAAACTTACTCATATAAAAAATATGTTCGACTTTACTAAAAAAATCAACAATAACAAAAAGATGCAATATTGCGAGTATTCAGCCTACCCAAACTGGATCTGTACTGTCAAATTACACACAGACACAGTCGTGTGGGTATCTGTTGCTACGAGAGTTCCTTATCCACATTGATAGGGTGAAATTCGCTGTATGTTGACTAAAAAAAGCACTCTCATGAGGCAATTTAGAGAATATTGACTAAAAAAATTAGTTACACGATAAAAATTTGACTACGAAAACCGACTAGTCACCGTAAACATTCTAGATGACCAAAAATAAGACTTAAGTTGAACCTCTAGAGGCTAGAAGTTGGTAGAAAAGTTCAAAAGATTAATATTTTTAAACCCCATTTGTTTTTACTTTTTACAACCTTGGTGGAACTGCATGATATAAGATAAGACTGGATGATTAACATTGCTTAACAACCAACTTTAAGACTTTGCAAGCATTTTGAAATTTATGTCCACATAATTCATAACAGATGGGATATATTTGGTTTTTCACCTTTGACATTTTATTTTTATGCATACTAAAATGTCATGAATCAAGTAAAGTTCACATTTTGACAGGCTAATAAGTTTAATTCTCATAGTACATTCATAATTATATTCTTGGTGAGTTATAATAATAATGCCCATCCTATTTAAGTAGTTGGTCTTTGCTAACTAATTATTGAAATTATAATCATCTTTTTGTGGTAAGGCCAGTTCATACTAGGCCACCATTGTCTAGCCTCATCAAATATATAAAAATGTGAAATATTTTGGTCAATGATAATAGATAATTTTAAATTTCAATACAAAAAAAAAAATAAAAAAAAAATAAAATAAAATAAAAAATTGCTACATAACTTTTAACAAAACTACCTGATAAGCTAGTTGATAGTTTATCATTATTTTTTTAGCTTTTAACTTATGACTTATAGTTCAAAAGCTAGTTTATATAATAAAAGTGATTGGTAAAATTAGTTGATAAGCTAGCTGGAATAAAAAATTCAATTAGCTTATTTGAAAAGCTACCTGAAGAAGCTTATCAAATAAGCTCGAGCTTTTTAAAAAAGTTCGTCATACCAAACAAAACTTATTTGAATACAAGTAGCTTATAAACTAACCAAATAAGATATAAACTAGCTTATTTGTCTACCAAACATATATGTACAGTCAAAGTGATAAATGATATATATACAGTGCAATATACTTTATGTTTCGAGCAATAAAAACAGCAATATATAATAATAATAATAATAATAATAATAATAATAATAATAATAA